AACATCCAAAAGTGGATATAATTTATGCTCACAATGGAATAAATGTTTAAAGCTAACAACCTTGTCTACATAAGATATAACTCTCACAAGTCACAACTCGGGACTAGGCTTAGAAAGTGACAAAGGACCCTAAAACATAAGACAAGACAAACAATGGTTAACAGTAATGTTCATTCTTGTAGCCCCCTGTGATTATGTTTGTCGAAGAACCTTTTCTACATAAGAACCAGTGGAAGAATATATTATGTTGACTCATTCCGTATCAATGATTCACATGATAAATCCTAGCCGAAAAGCACAAAAAACGTGTTCTACCATGTGACGATCAAAAGTAGAGGTCGAATATTCTCAACACGTTTTTAAGTAAAGTATTTCTAAAAAAACAAAGTTTGAAAGAACGAATTCCTTATAATTATAAATCAACTTGATAAATTTTGTAATTTTCAATCAACCCGGACTGGCCAGGCGGGCATTACTATTGGCCTTCTTCAAACAACTTACTGTAATAACATATTGCCGGCCGCATGACGGGCACATGCATAAGTTTACCGTGAATGAGATGCGCTTTAAATAGTTATTTCTTATATGGAAGTTGAAGAGGGTGACTCTCTATATGACACGTGTACTTATATTAAATGATTTCGCGTGAATAAGACAAGACTAGTCACGTGACAAAAACATCAATGCATCGAGTCATCAGACTGAAACCGAGCTATTCAAAGAGCTTGGGGAAAAAAACAGAGATTGGTCCTTATCATGACCGAACTGTTTCAAACAATAAACGGAGGGCTAAAGAAACGCCTATAACTCGGACATTCTGGTTAAACGGATTAGCATAATTATAGGCCCGGCATAAGGAATTGTCAGAGAGATCTCAGTAACTTTCCAAACAGAGCCGCCTAATTGAAGAAAAATATATCACCTTGAATCTAGAATCATGAAAACTCTAACTGAACAAGGGTATATAAAAGGCACAAGGAGCCAAGGTGAAAGTTACGCTCAACTCTCCTTATCTTCTTGCAATCGTTTTAGTTCTATTACTGACTTAAGCATCAGAGTGTCTTCAATCGCAGCTCTTCGGTCTTAGACAATTTGTTAGTTTTGTAGGAAGCAGAGACTGAGAGATCAAGTTCAAAGTTCACTCTTATCAAAAACATTCATTCTTTATTCTTGCAAGAGGTATCCTTAATTTTTACCTCATATAGAAGTTTAGTGCAAATTTTCACTGCCCACCAACTTTTGTCTTTACTAAAAAATAAACTACCTAGCAGCCTTTGCTGATGAAGCGACTGCAACCTTCAACACACCTCCTTACCTTTGTAAGTCACTTCTATTATGAACTAGTTGGTGTATATGAACTAGTTGGTGTACACATACTTTGCATGTGGACAATCTCATTAAAAATATATTATTTTGTACTAAAATTAGAAAAAATGATTCCAATATTACAAATAGTTGAATTAAGCTCATTAAAATTGTGATTTTAATTTTATTTTTTTTGGAGAATAGGGAATCAAAGGCTGAAAAAATTTCAATCTCTATTTGTTTGGCCCAAAAAAAATAATATTTTTCAAATGTACATAAACTAATGCCCTTTCAGATTTTTATTGTTCAATATAAAGCTCAAGACGTAAACCTCTGACACAAAAATTCAATCAAAGTATTAGTTAAATCTATATAATAAAATAAAATATAATTCAAGTCTCAAAAGATAAACAAAATAAGTTTTACTTTTCGCAGTTGAGATATCTTTACATTTTACTTTAAAGTTAATCTGACGACTAATATTAATGATCCAAATTTAATAAGAAAAATAGGCTCCTAAGAGTGTGTTTGAGGTAAATTTTTAAAAGTGCTTCTAGAACATAAGTATTATTAATAAAAAAAGTAGTGTTTGGAACAACTCCATTATCACCACTCCCACCGCGCCACCACCACCACCACCACCTCTGTTACAACAACCACCCCCGACGTCTCCACTACCACTGCCGCCACCCCACAATCACTATACCACCAACCTTACCACCACTACTGTTGCTGACACCCTACTACCACCACCACTACCATAACCACCACCACCACCACTATAACCACCGCGGCCACCCCCTACCCCGTCACTACCTCTGCAACAACAACAACCACCGTCGCCGTCGTCACCCCACCAACACTGTCCCTCCATCACCCCCTACCACCACCATCCCCATCGTCTCACCACTTTTCTGTCAACTATCACCACCACCACCACCACCACCACCACTAGCCCCACCATCACCACTGCCCCACCACCACCACCAATGCCCTCACCACATATTGTTACCACCGTTGTCCACCTTCACCATCCACCACCATCGTCTTCTCATTCTTATATTAATTANACCACCACCACCGCCATTGTTCCCACCCTACCACCACGACCACTAGCCCCACCATCACCACTGCCCCACCACCACCACCACTGCCCTCACCACATATTGTTACCACCGTTGTCCACCTTCACCATCCACCACCATCGTCTTCTCATTCTTATATTTATTACCGCTACCACTATCATCCCATTACCACCATCGCCCACCGTCAACACCCCACTACCACCATTCTTACCCATTGCCAACCACCATTACCTGTCGTTGCCCGCCATCGCCGTCAGCCACTGTCACCCACCCCCACCACACCTANTATTACCGCTACCACTATCATCCCACTACCACCATCGCCCACCGTCAACACCCCACTACCACCATTCTTACCCATTGCCAACCACCACTACCTGTCGTTGCCCGCCATCGCCGTCAGCCACTGTCACCCACCCCCACCACACCTACCACCATCGCCATTCTCCACCATCCATCACATTATTGCCCAGAAGTGCCTGTCATTGCCTACCACCACCATCGTCCCCGCCACCACCACTATCGTCGCCCCACTACCACTACTGCTAACCACCATCACCGTCGTCCGCCACTACCCACACCTACCACCACAATCGTCGTCACTCATGACTGTCACTACTACAATCGTCACCCAAAATCCACAACCACTATCACCGTTGCGACCCATAGTTGTCACCACAACGATCATCGCCACCCACCACAATCATCTTCGTTTTTCGACCACAACCATTACTACTCACAACCGCTACCACCGCTCATCCCTAATATAATTGGTGCTTCAATTTCTTTCTCTGTCCTCTATGTTTGTGATTTGATTTTAGGTGTGAATACAAATATATTTATTATTGACCATTTTTTTATTACTACATGCCTCAGGCACGAGAAATAACTAATCTAATTATATTTGGCATTATAAATATATACGCAATGAAGAGATTGACTATCCAATACGTAGTTATGTTATATACATGACCTGTTCACCAGGAAAGAGAATCACAAAATCTTACTTTCTTAACTACTTGTTGTTCAACGCTTTTCTAGATTTCTTGAAATATTTTTTTCAAGATAGAATGAAAAAAAATAATGAAGAGTTGAAGTTGAAAGTAATTATCTAACCATGAACATACAAGGAAAAACCACAAGCTTTTTTTGTTTTTGGAAAAATTTCAAGCCCCCGCACATATAAATAAGGACAAAAGTGATTACCTAAGAATCGAGTTGTACGATATAAGGAGGGTACTTTCACATCAAACAAATATATCAAGCAAGAATATTTTTACAACAATTCTTGAAACCTAGTAGGAAAGAGGGAAAATTTTGTAATTGNAGGAGGGTACTTTCACATCAAACAAATATATCAAGCAAGAATATTTTTACAACAATTCTTGAAACCTAGTAGGAAAGAGGGAAAATTTTGTAATTGTTTTTTTGTAATTACCATAAACTCTTAATTTTTCAATGTCCATAAAACCCAAACATCAACTTAGGAGAAAATTTTAAAACTTTCTTGTCATGACAAAAAAATTTTGGCCTAAAAGCATTAAAACCTCAAATAAATTGATGTGGTTAGAATTAGAAGACCAAAAGTTACCGAGCCCAATATGTGGGGAAACAAAAAGGTGGTAGTGAACATCATTAGAGTTGAAATCAATAACTAAGTTGAATTGAATACATAAAATACTTAGCATATGTACATAACTAAGAGCAACTCCAACAATGCTACCTAAAATAGCTACTCAAAATATATTTAAATATTATATTATCTACTTTAGTTAACCACCTTTTTAAATTCACTCTAACCACGCTACCTATTTTAACTAACCATTTCAACTAACTTTAACTAACTATTAATTATTAAAATCTAAAATTCTAACTATTAATTATTAAAATCTAAAATTCTAACTATTAATTATTAAAATCTAAGAATTGGAGGTTTTGCTGGATTTTTTAGGGGTTTTGCTAGATTTTTTAGGGGATGTTGCTGGATTTTTTAGGGATTTTGCTAGATTTTTGGGGGGTTTTATTGGATCTTTTGTGGGTTTTGCTAGATTTTTGAAGGGTTTGATGAAATTTGGAGGGGGGTTTACTGGATTTTAATCTCAACTCATCGTCCTCATATACTTTTTTCCATAGGGGGGAATCATTTCAACTATTTATTTTTTGATTCGTTGTAGTTGTAATACAAACTTCGAGCACAAGAAATCATATTTTTTACCATGTGTATTGATTAACTGAAATTCAAGCTTAGAAACTTGGGGTATTATACCCTTGAGGCCCGCTCATCCGAGTTAATCCATGGATTAACAGTAAGACTTTTGTAAGTTGGAGAGACAACCAATAGGTTTTTTTTTTTGGTGAAACCACCCCGTGAGTGCTCACTTCTGCCCTCGGGTGGTTGTGGATTCAAATCTCGTCCTTTCCCCTCTCCATTCGCCTCCTCCAAAAACGTTTTTTTTTTTAATGAGATAATCTAAGTTACTAACTCCTATTAGACATTTCTCAAAATTAACAACATCTATGTGGGTTAAGGAATGAAAGAGAATTACTCAATTTAATTTTTCTTTTGGTGACGCAGCTTCTGTTTGTAATGGATATAATGATGATGGTGTGATGATTGCGGCTGCAAGTGATGCAATCTGGGACAATGGTGGTGCATGTGGAACAAGGTATAGTGTCATTTGCCTTAGTGGGACCAACCTGGGCGAGCCCCACCCCTGCAACGGCAACTCGGTCATTGTGACGATTGTCGAGTACTGCCCGCCACCTGGATGCCGAGGCACTCTCGACTTATCACAGGAAGCTTTTTCCTCCATTGCCAATCCGGATGCTGGCAAAATAAACATAAACTTTGAGAGGTACGCGATATTTAGGAATAAAAAAAAGATACTGTTTTCATTTAGGCAATATTGTTCTTTGTCATTGCTTTAGCGTTCTTTTACGCCAATGTCAGATTATTTATCCGTTTTTCTTTTCTTTTCTTTTTCCTTTCATGCAGCCTATGAAGCATCAAAGATGGATAGGCTTATGATCATAAGTGGGTAGACTTTTGGATATTGAAATTTTTTTCCATATCCTGCAGCAGTTTCTTGTGGAAACACAACTCTTGTATTTTCTTTTTTTCTTTTCTTTCTTTTTGCTTTCTTGCTTCGTGTAGGCGCTTTCATATTTAAACTGCTTTTGTTTTTCTATCATCTTGCTTCAATTTAATCCCTATTTTCTTGATTAATGTCAAAGAATATAAAATTCAGAATATGTAATAGTCAATTGTGAATCTTCTACTTTTTGAAGTGAGGAGGTGATTGAGTGGTAAGGTTTCACTTTTACCCGTAGGTGGTTGTGGGTTCCAATTTCACCCCATTTCCCCCAAGAAAATGATAAAATTCACCTTATGTAATATTCAGTACTCTCGAAAAATTAAACTTTATATGTTATTTAATAATCCTACTTTTGTGTTGGGAGTATGCATGCACAATTTGATCCACCATCGCCACAACCTGCTGCAACCACACCACCAATGCCCACACCAACTGTAATGTATCCACCACAAGCCACACTCATCGTCAACACACCTGATTCAACCACTACGTACCTCCATTACCATGCCCATTGATAATGGTAAATTTGGCACACCCGCTGGGTAGAGGTACCCTGCTCCTAGAAGGAGGAGCTCCGTAGTTCAAAAAAGCCCAACCTGCAGTTCCTTGCTCACCCAGCTTAGCCCAACACTGTTTGGGTTCAAGCTAATTTTGTTTTTAACGAGGGAAGCTTCTGAGTATGTGTTTCCAATCAAGAAGATCCAAACATGCCAAAACCATGACATATTCGACATTTTTACTATTTGGGTCAAAACATGCTATTGTTTGACGGATATTTTGCTACCCACAAGAAAAAGAAGTGAATTTTCAATTTCACATAGCAATAGAAAATTGGTCCATGTCCCAAGAAAAAACAAAAACTGAACTGTTATGGAGGAGAATTTTCCATATAAATGCACTTTTAACTCAAACTCCGATGGAATTAGGATATAACAGAGTAATAATTGACGGGAAAACTTTGTAGAACAAGTCCAAGCTCATGAGAATCTACGTACAGAGTTTTTAGTGAACTAAAAAGGTCATTCTGGAGACCATGTTGTTGATTATCTCTAGTTAAATTTGTTTTGACATGTACTGATTTCATTAGTTGGAGGAGAGAGTGTCCGTAGTTTTCNAAACCATGTTGTTGATTATCTCTAGTTAAATTTGTTTTGACATGTACTGATTTCATTAGTTGGAGGAGAGAGTGTCCGTAGTTTTCGTATCCTGTACTGCAACAAGACTGTTTGAATAATTGAGGAAATATAATTATTGCCGTTTCGTGTAAAAAAAAACTCAAACTCTAAACAATCAGTAGATATTCACGTCCTGACATTTAAAATATTATAAAACTTATATGTGCGTAATACATAGATCAATGTCATTGATGTTTTTTAGTATATCAATTAGTAAATTACATCAAGACCCTTAAAAATTGAAGAATGTAATACTTAGACTCCTCAAGTTTAAAATATTACACTTACACAAAAAAACTTTAATTAATAATAAAATATCAAATGTTTTAAATTTTACAACTAAAATTTTATTGAAATAAAATCATAAATAAAAATATAATTTTTTTAAAAAAAAATTACAACTAAAATTTTATTGAAATAAAATCAAAAATAAAAATCTAATTTTTTTTTAAAAAAAAAATTATAATTAGTAATGTTGATATCAAAATTTGGACGACCCCTATATCAGTTTTTATGGCTTCAATCACCTGAAAAAGAAGTCGGAGACAGGAGAGGAGCTCCGATGGTTGACTCTCCAATGCATAAGTCAATAAGTGACTCAAACGTATGAATTATGTTTAAAAGTTAGGAGTGACATAATTGGAACATCCATAAAACTTTATTTATAGGATTTTTTACAATTNCGTATGAATTATGGTTTAAAAGTTAGGAGTGACATAATTGGAACATCCATAAAACTTTATTTATAGGATTTTTTACAATTTGAATTGTATAGGGATAATGATTGAAGATTTAGTCAATCATAGAAAGATAAAGATTAAGTCCTTACTTTTATAAGATAATTTGATATTATCCGTGTGGTTAAATTTAGTTTATCCATGATATATAGAATCCTATTTAAATTAGAACTCTTGACAAGATGGGTTAGACTTGAACTAAATGAACTTTTCACATTGGATCAATCTTTTCATCATCAAATACGAATATACGATTTTTTTTTTTTTGAGGGGGAGGGAGAGAAGAGAATTTTAACCCTTGACTTCAAAAAGACAAAGTCTTCACAAGATAAGGAGTATCACTGGACCAAAGACCCGTTGGTACAAACATATGAAATAAGCATAACCAACACATTTACGAGTTCCATTATATACCCCATCGACATCAAAATCAAACAAAATCCCAATTTTTGGAGAAAAAAATAATTTGTATAAGTATATTAAATAATTCAATTTAACACTTAGTTGTATAGAATTATACTATCTATTGAAATAAAACTAAAAAATTAAATTAGGAATCAAAACTGTAATTGACACAATATCTTTTATTTTTAATTGGTGTAATTAATTCACTTAATAGATTCCGTTAGTTTCATAACTAATAAGGGTCTAAATATAATTTTTAAATTTAATAGGCTTAAATGTTACACGTCTACAAACTTAAAGGAGATATTAGTAGACTTAAGGAGATATTAGGATGATGTTCAAAACATCCAAAAGTGGATATAATGTACGCTCACAATGGCAAAATGTTTAAAGCTAAGAACCTTGTCTACATAAGAAATAACCATCACAACTCAGGACTAGGCTTAGAAAATGACAAAGGACCCTAACAAATAAGACAAACGATGTTTAACAGTAATGTTCTGCTTGTAGCCCCCGTGATTATGTTTGTAGAAGAACCTTTTCTACATAAGAACCAGTGCAAAAATATATTATGTTGACTCATTCTCACCCAAAAGAATAAAGAGAATAAAAAATTAGTTCTCCGTATCAATTACTCACATTATAAATCTGTTGGGGAAATTAGTGTAATTATACATTATTTTTTATGGCGTAAATCAACGTGAATGAGAAAAAGGTACAGGTGACGTGTGATGAGCGTGGATCAGAGCTACAAGGCTCGTGTGTGATGCTGCAGTGAAATACTTAGGAGATTAAAGGGGTGTACACAGTGAAAATATAGTAGTTCACCGGCTCAGAAGCTCGGCTAGTCCACTTTTCAATGGAGGCTCTTGCTCCTTCTCCTTTATTTCATACTCAAATGTATTACAATACGATATATCTCGAAATTAGGGTTTTTTTCTCCCCCTTTTATATGGAGGCGTTACATAGTATTTATAAGGCTGCCCTTTATTCCGCGGGATTTCAACCGAGATCTTTGCCTATTATTCATGGGATCTTCCTTGATTTTAGGAGAGAATCTTGATTGGTTGAGAGTTTCATGCATGAGGCCCAATTTTCGCAGTCATCCAACTGTTTCCTGGTTGGTTCAGCTACGATCTCCCCAAGGGGAGCTCCACCCCTAGTTCTTTGAGCTCCTCGTGTTTTTCCTGACCTCCTGACCCGAGCTCACAGCTAGGGCTTGTTTGAGGTATCATTAGTTGCCCCCCAGCCCCTGGTTCAAGCGATTTTGGACAGGGGTTGAGCTATTTTTTAAACCGAGCAGGATCTTCATGTGGCTAACCTTGGCCTGCACGTGGGTTAGGCCTTTTTGACGGTTTTCAGCAATCATGGCTTCCTCGCTTCCCGCACATATTTCAGTCCACATCTTTCAGGCTTTAAATGCTCAAACAGCTATCTAAACCTCCCTATTCCACTGTTCAACTTCTCTGCTGCTTCTCTCTTCTTGCGATTTCTTGGTTTTCTGGTTTGGAATTCTCTGACTCCTCGTTCAAGATCGAGTTCTGTGGGTTCGATTTGAAGATTCGCATTGCCCTCTTTCTTCCATTTCGCTCTAGGTTGCTGTTTGTTGCTCTTTCCCACCTAGGTACGCTCTTTTGTCTCTTTTTGATCTTTTCTCGTTCTGGATCCCTTGAATTCGAGATGACCATTGCATTACTGGGCATTTTGGTTCTTTTACTTTTGGAATCGAAATTACTGCTTGTCTCCTCTCCTCCACTTCGTGAACTGGTCTTCTATCGTGCTAATCCTTACTGTTGGAAGCTACTGGGCTGACCCTAGGGTTATTAGGGAGTGCTTAATCATTATTCCTCCTCTCTACCATTCTTTCAGTTTACCTTTCTCCTGTCCAATCATGTCTACTCCTTCCAGAGTTACACGCCCCTTTACTTCTCTCTTGGGTGAAAGGTCTGCCGAAGAGGACACTGATTTAGGGGATGTAGGTGAGGAAATCGGCAATTTTACTAGTGTGGTTGTTGTCGATGCCGAGGAAAATACTGAGGAACCATCCCCATTGTCTTCTTCTGTGCCTCCTAATCCTAACAAAGGTAAGGGCAAGGTGAGTAGGATAGGAGTCTCTAACAGCGCAACGGGCACAGGGACTGCCTTTAGGCATGCTGAGCTTATAGGACCTAGTGAGGTTGACTCTTCTCATGTGAGAATTCTCAGTGCTCGTTACGATTTTCCTCCTGGTGTCCAGATAAATACACCTCATACGTTGCCCAAGTTCACAAGAGAGTATGTTTCTTTGCGACTGCTTTTGAGAATGACCTTCGCTTCCCTATGCATCCCTTCATTAAGAGTGTTTTGCAACACTTCAATGTCTGCCCTGCTCAACTCTCCCCTAATTTCTAGGGTGTACTTGTGGGTCTTCTTGTTTTATTCAAGATTCATGGACTCGGGGTCCCTAGCCTTTCCTTGCTTGTGAATCTTTTTAATGTCAAGCTCACCTCATCAAAGAGTTTCTTATATATCTCCAAGCGAACCACGGCTAGGCAGATTATTACTCATCTCCCGAGCTCCCATAAGGGTTGGAATAAACAATTCTTTTTCG